TGAGTGAAGCCAGTGAATGCACAAGTCAGCCCCATCTACTCCCGAGTCACGCATCTGTCTGAATCCCAAGAACATTCTCTAATAGTAATTTTCAGTGTTAATTTGATATGACAATGTAGCCCTGCAAATGCAGAAGTTGGCAGGGAACTTCACCAAATGGGTGAGATCAGAGGGCACCATTTTGTTCTTTTTGGACAGTTAACTGCTTTTGGAATGAAATTTGTCACAGTTGCAGTCTCTTTTCTTTCTTGAAACCTCCTAGATAATGGGGAGGTTGGGTCTTTTCACTTACACTCTTCTGATGCCGCAATGGTCCAGATTTCTCAGTTGTATTTCTATAGCTGGCTTTCGTCCTTCCGTTAGGCCAGTCTTCCCATTAGGCCATTTCTCGATCTCCATAGGTACTCTGAATTTGATTCTTCTTTTTTGTCTAAAATAGAGTGTCAATGAAGGCAGCATATAAATGGTGATCTCATAAGATGACAATACTGTATTTTTACTATTCCTTTTCTATGTTTAGATACACAAATCCTTAACCATTGTGTTACAGTTGCCAACAGTATTCAGTACAATAACTTGCTGTACAGATGTGTAGCCTTGGAATAATAGGCTGTGCCATCTAGGTTGTGTAGGTACATGGTGGTCACCTAATGACAAAGTTGACTAATGATGTACCTCTCTGGTCTTATCTCTGTTGTTAAGCGAGGGTGTCTATACTTAATAAAATGATTTACCTCATTGAACAGCTTCATATAAATTAGTGTTCTAAGTAACTAATGTACATCTTCTTATATGTTTTTATAAACAACCACACTTTTCTATATGTTACACATAATCATGCAATGAGTATTTAAGTAATGAATGATACAGTTTGATGTTGTGTCCCCAGTAGTAAAGAGCACCAGATCATGATAATCCATCAGCAATATAACTCTGAAATGTCTTTACCACGTTTCCTGCATTCTTACACATTGTACATGCTGGCCTGCTCTGTGCCTGGGCCTGTGCTGTTCTGTGCTGGAGGTGGAATGGTGAAAAGGGGAGCTTCAAGGAGCTTACAGTTAGAGAATACAGACTAGCATCTCTTGTCTAGTCTTCCACAGCCTTCTTAGCTTAAATGCTGGGGTGCCTTCACAGTTACAGAGACATGTAAGGCTATTCTCCCTAATTTAAATGGCCCAGGATGCTCATTGAATTTTCTCATTTACCTTTTTAAAAAAATTGTCTTAATCAGTACTATGTATATATAATAAAAAATTCAAAAGGGACAAAGGAGTGTAAAGTAAAAATTAGGTTTTCTTTCTTCCCCAACCACCCAATTTCTTTTCTCAGATCAGCCACTGCTACTGTTTTTATGTATTTTTTTTTTCTTTTTTTGGCCAGAGCTAGGTTTGAACCCACCGCCTCCGGCATATGGGGCCAGCACTCTACTCCTTTGAGCCACAGCGCCACCCCATTTTTATGTCTTTTTTTTCAGACACTGTCATGTATATACATGAGCTTGTCCCTCCACTCCCCAGTTATGGCTTTTGCATACAGTTCTCCTTATCTTTTTCAGTTAGCACATTTAGTGTGGAGCTCATTCAACATCAGTACACAGAGATGCTTTTTTCTTAATGATTGAATAGTAGTCCATTACTTAACCAGTCGCCTGTTAATGGATCTTTTGGTTATCTCTAGTCTCTGGCTGTTGTATAGAATGCTGAAGTGAATGTTCTCTTCCAAATGCTATTTAAGTTTGAAGGACATTGCCAAATTTCTCTGTATCCCCTCAGCAACAGAGAAAGTTGGTTCCCGCCTAGTATATTATTTATCTTCTTACAATTAAAATTCATCTGTTCTTTATCTGTGAC